TCCCTTAATGTCAGAGACCAAGTTTCACACCCATACAGAACCACACGCAAAATTACAGTTTTGTATATTCTAATTTTTATGTTCTTGGACAACAGACAAGAAGATAAAAGGTTCTGGACTGAATGGTAGCAAGCATTACCCGAGTTCAATCACCTCTTAATTTCCTCCTGAATCAGGTTTCAATCTGTTATCAATGTTCCCAACTGTGCCACATTTTCAAAACATCTGTTTCCTATCTTTATGTCCTGATTTTGCCCTGCATTTTGGTGACAAGATAGTAACATGTACTTAGTTTTCTCTGTCTTTACTTCTAGACCAACCTCTTTACTTGCGTCAATTAAAGTTTGTGTGTTTTTCTTTATGGTATCTACATTATCACCCAGTAGATTCACATCATCAGCGTAGACTAACAACTGATGTGTCCCATTTAGTTTCAGCCCCACCTGGTTTCCCTGACCCTTCCTAATTGCATATTCTAAGGCAAAGTTGAAAAGGAGAGTCCTTTACCCTACCATTTTCAATTTGTATATAAATGATGCCCCCCAAACACATGGTGTTCACATGGCCCTCTTTGTGGATGACACCTGTCTGTATGTGACAGATCACAAGGAGGGTTTTATTGTTAGAAAAATCCAGAGTGGTCTCAGCTCAATGGAGACCTGGTGTGAGCGCTGGAATATTAAAATTCCTGAAGATAAGACTCAGGGATCTACTTCTCTCATAGTTGTCGACCGCCTGAGTCTTGTCTCACTCTAAATGGATGAAATATTCCATTTGTAAATAGTGCAAAATATCTAGGTGTAATCTTCGATAAGAGAGTTACATGGAGATTACACATAGAAATGATTGAAGCCAAGGCCTTCAGAACATTCATTAGAGTATATTCCCTATTCAAAAGCGAGCGCTGGAGCGCTAATATTAAAATGACCCTCCACAAAGCTCTCGTCAGATCTGTAATGACTTATGCTAGTCCCGCCTGGGAATTCGCGGCAGACACTCATGAGACACTCATGAGACACTCATGTAGTGAAATTGCAGCGCCTGCAAAACAACGTTCTCCAAACCACTGTCAATTTTACAAGGCGCACACTGGTCCATGAATATTACATGGCATTTAAAATCCTGTACGTATATGACTATATAATAAAATTATGCAGGAAACAAGCAGAAGTCATACAAAATCATGAAAATGAGAATGTTCGCAACATCGGACAAGGTGAAGCCGGACACAGAAAGTACTTGGCGGTGGTCAGGCATACTACCGTTCAAGTGACTAGACTGCCGTGATAGCAAATACTGGTAGAAATAGGGCAAAATCTGCTGTACTGAGCCTGGATTGACAGAGGCCTTGTATATACTGTACATAGAAATAGGAATTAAGATTAAATTTGTAAACATATGTAAATACTGAGAATGGACTTACTAACACAGACTATGACTGACAAATGACAGACCCGACCTCTCGTCAGAGAGGGCGCCCCAAATGAACGGGACAGTAACTTTCATATAAGAGAAAAAAAAATAAATCTGGTCATGAGGACAGACAGACTGACAGACCGTCAGTCGCAATGTGACTTGGACTTGGAGTTGTTAGGCAGTTCTGTAAGGGAGGCTGTGAAGGAGGACCTGAGCACATGAAGCTGAAGAATCTCCACTGTTAGAAGTTACTGCCAGGGAATGATGTAAGTCCACAGATAGCTGATACACTGTGCTAAAACTGATATCCTAGACAATTTTCTTCAGGGATTGCATAACATACAAGGTTGGGTAAATAAGTTTCAAGACTAATTTTTAATTCTGCATGAAGTTATCTGGAAATGCTGTTACTTGGAATGGTAGGTGACACAACAAGACGCAGCTTACATAGAATGTTTGGATAAGCTGTGTTCAGTATTCATTGAACAGTAAGTAGTTCATCAGAACACTGTGTGTCATCAACCTTGTCCAGACGTGAAAATGGAGCATATGATGGAACAAAGGGTCAATGTCAAATTTTGTGTTAAACTACAGAAACTGCCAACTGGCCATGAAATGGAGATCGGAGAATTCTCCCAGGCCAAAGAAGCCACAGATGTCAAAGTTGAAGATCAAAACAATGTTTATCCGTTTTTTCGACATCAGGGGTATCATCCAGTTTGAATTTGTACCTGAAGGGACCACTGCTAATCAGACATTCTATGCAGAAGTGTTGAAAAAGCTTAAGGATGCCATGAGGTGCAAGTGAGAATTGCTGTAGAGAGTTCACTCATTGATTCTTCACCATAACATGCTGGCACATTCTCAGTTTTAAGGGTTGCAGTTTTTAGCAGGAAAAGGCATCTCCTGATTTGACTCCAGCTGACTTCTGGCTGTTTCCAGAACTCAAAAGTGTCCTAAAAGGAAAATGTTTCTCGGATGTCGAGAACATTAAATTATCTGTGGAAAAAAAAAAAATCGACAGACATTCTTTCCCGTTCAGGATTTTAAAAACTGTTTCTGTCAATGGCCGAAGTGCTGGGAACAGTGTTAAGAATTGGAGGAAGATTACTTTGAAAAATTCTGTGTTCCTAATATCTGCAGCTCTTGCAATAAATTATTAAAAAATTAGTCTCAAAACTTACACTAGATACACAGACAATTTATTCTGTAATATATATGATGAAAATTTGACCAGGTTTGTCTAGGGGCAATGCTCTAGACTTGCATTTGGGCAGCGTTCAATTCAAATTTTGACTCGAACAATGGCTATCCTGACTGAGGTTTATCATGCCCTTCCTCAATAGCTCCAGGCAAATGCTTAGACAGTACGTTGATTTGACCAGAACTGCTTCTTTCCAGATTCTGCCTAGTTCAACATTCATCTACCATCCTACCATCAAATGCAATATAGTCTCGAAACTGAAAGTATAATTAAATAATGGACGAAAAAAGAAAACGTAAACACAGTTCTGAGACTGGGTCTCTATAGGAGGAAGGGTCAGACTAACATAGGACAGAAAATAAAACATTATCCTGTCCTGGGAACACTTGAAATCCTCAGGTTTAGAAAATCAGTGTAATAATAAAGACAGAACAAGTGGCATGTAAAGACTAAAAAAGGTACAGTACAAAAACAATGAAAACATGGCATACACAATGAGTCCGCAAATTTGAACTGGGTTTAAGGCCTAAGAACAATACAACAAACAACGCAATGTAAATAATTAAGCAAAAACATCCCTATCAGTCTGAAAGTTATGGCTAGACAAAAATGTGTGTACCACCTGGGAGGATCCACTGCAAATAGCCATGACAAAGATTTAGAAAAGCAAGTTGAACAAATTTAGAACACACAAACTCACTTTGCAGTCCCTGATAAAAAAAAAGTCCCTCTAGCCACCTCAACAGACACTGACATGACCAGAGCAGTTAGTATCTTGAAGTCCAAACCCCAAATGTCAGAGGAATACTCTGCAATACCCTGGTAGACAAAGAGGAGTGGGGGTGCATAGGATGTAGGAACAGAAAAAACAGACTGCACAGGAAGGTGGCTATGGGATGTTTTTGAATATAATGTTTCTGAGGCAGGTTAGAACTGGTTCAGTTTAAACCATCCATACATAACGAAATCTTGAGGATATGATCAGAATACACCACAACAAAGAGGTTAATACATAAAGATGTGGGTATATGTAACACGGGCTTACATTAATTTGAAACCATTTTATAATGTAAATCCTCTCTTACAGAATGTGTACTGCACAGCTCCAACACCTCATGCATATAATAGCACACATATTTGGAAAGGAATTAAAAATATACAAACCCTAAGGGCTGGACTGAGATTAACTAACTCCTGTCGAACATTATTGGGTAGGTTGCTTGTTGGAGAATGGATAACATCCAACACAGCAAAAAACTGTTCACAGTTTACTGGCTTGCCTTGTGGGTTGAAGGTGAGGATGTCTTTAAGATAGCCGACAACAAAACTTGTGTAGTTTCTCATGTCCATCATAGGTACCATCACATCCAACCACACTAAAGGGAGGAAAAATTACAATAATCATTAGGTTCACATCAAAAGTGAGTAGTCCTCAGAAGTTTGCATCAGCAGTCAGGACTACAAAAGTGTACTGAGGGTTCACAATCTTCAAGAGTGTCCGGTGTCCCACCACTGTTCCAACGGCTCGCAATACGACGTTGATGTACCATTCCATCAAGTCTTTTCAATGTCTATACATGTAAGTGATGGCATATCTCAATTATGTGTATCTTACTAAGCAAACAGTTATCATCAACCTTTAAGGCTCCACATTTATTATTTATTAATTATTACCCATAAATGTTTCTATATCAGACTTTGTAATTTCCACAGTAATATATAACTGAAAAATGAATACAACCATCATAAAAATTTGTTAATATTTCTTTATATAAAGCCTAGAATCTATATATAAATTCCCTACACATACAAAGGAAAGAAGGGAATGTCAACTTCTCATACTGTGTAAGTAGAGAATAGAAAGATTGTGTTCTTCTTTTATTGATATTATAGAATTTTCATCATTAAACTACAGATGTTTATTACAGATCATTTACTTTAAAAGATCAATCAGTGTTCTGAAGTGAAAATATTCAATTACTTCTAACACAGTTAAAATTGTAGCTGGTTTTGTAAAAATAATTTAGTTACTTGGCACTCCCTGAGTTAGGGGTATTTAAATTGTTCCACGCCCGTTTTCTTCAAACAATACACACTATTCCAATGGTGGTAGTTGTTATGGATTCACATCTAAACATCTCTGCATAATATACCACCACAAATTATCTCCATTGCCTGTCTTTTCTTTTTCTTTCACAAAGAAGTCCATATTTACTACATACAATTTCCTTTCAATCAAAACTTGTCTCTTAATTTCTTCTCTCCACACAACTATGAAAGTGCACCTGGATGACTTCTAGCAAGAGGTGATGGAAAAAGCTCCAAATGCATGAACAGCAGGCTCCTAGAGGCCAAGTGTTCACAGTGACATAATTTCTTGTTCACAGTGACATAATTTCTTGATCATCTGATGTCTTCTAGCCACACAAGAAACATAATTTTTTTAACACCATCCCAAGAAACTTCTCAAGTCCAATTTCAGGTTGAAATACAAACCTTTCAAACCAGTCTGTATATCCTTCATTCCTCCCTGACCCAGTGCCCAAAGAATGGTTAGGCCAACAGACTGACGGTTTTGGTATGAGTTGCGAAGTGCTGTCACTTTCTGAATGTTTGAGGTCGTAATGCTAGGATTCTGGAATGCTAAGAGCTGCAGCATCACTTTGTATCCATGTATTAATGAACTACCTGAAAGTGTAGAAATATTCGTTACAGGCAATCACACACATATTATCCAAATACTTCAACTGTTCTTGCACGGTTGGAGCTCAATGTATGATTTTGGCTTTTGTGAATACACCATGTAAACTGTTGAAGGTCTTCCATTTCAGCAAACACTGCGGTCACCATCTTCAGGGTTAATTACCTTGGTGGGAGAGGGGGAGAGCAACTCTTCTACAGATCTTGAAGTGGGCAATGAATCACAGATGAAACGGCGATTGGACGGATTAGAAAGGCTGTGTGCTAGCCAATGGGAAGTGACCACATCGTTATTGAAAAGAGCAACACAGTGGACCTAAAAAAAATGGCAATGGAAAATGTTTTTTCAGTGGCCAGGTAGTCCTCAAAAGAGTAAATTAGAAATGTCAGTTGCATGTGGTGAGAAGAGGAGCTGAAAAAGGTTTTAGCACTGCCTGATATGTGCTGAACAAGTCAGTAGTGACAAAAGAACTACTTTTACATATTTCATTGGCTCTAGTCAAGACCATTTACTCACCAAAACACTTTTCATTGCCTCTTTCCCTTAACCACATAATGCCTGAAACATTTACATCACCTCTTTTCAGGTCCACATGCTTATCAAAACATTTCATATCATTTCTTTACATTAACCACATGGCTGATCCTCACCGGATAGTACCCAACTCTTATGTTTCATCCAATCATTGCTTCATCTCTGACTCAGTGCCCGAGGAGTCCTTAAAAAAAAAAGCAGCAAATACCCTCCTCAAAATTATTGATGCTGAAGATGACAACTTCAGTGTTTGCCAAACAGAAAACCTCTTGCATTCTTGAAAGCTGAAGTCATACCCCAGATGTTGTGAATGTCTGTTATGACACTGGGCAATGGTGAAAAATAAATGAGGTTTCTGAAATATTAATAAAAATACTGAGTGAGTTATATCCTCATTTCTCATCCTTATCGCAACATAATTGCTACAAAGTATACTGACATCAATTCCCACATTTATCTTCTTCCCTTCCCTGAACTGAAAGACATTTGAATGGAATGTTGCAGTTTATTCATTACAGTCTATGTGAGAAGGATTTTCCTGTTGCTTAGGGGAAAAAAAAAACACCTTTCCTAGGAAAGGAAAGTAGGCTAAAAGTTAATTCTTCATGCATTAACCAACTCTACCAAAAACTGTCTCCACAGTAATTTTTTCATGTTTATATTTCTCCTCTACATGGTCTGAATGATCTGACATGCCTACGCATGAGAAGTTAATTGAAACATTACAAAAGCAAACTTTACTAGAGACTTCAACACATTTTAACTGAATTCTGACAGCAGATTAAGAATTCCTTTATAACCATACAATACTGTCACGTGTATGAGTCACTATAGATGGGCTTTTGGACTGCAGATTGGATTTAACACAGGACTTGTGAATACACTTAATTACAGCATTATTGCTAATTTCCACACTTTACAAATCACTACAGCACACACTAAGTCCTTTCAGTCTGTTGTGTCTTCACCAGTCATTCCATGGTAATGGCTTATAACACTGCAGATTCTTCAGCTTTTGTGCTAACTGCACTGACCAAGTCTTCTCTTCACAGACTCCCTTACAACTCTAAATTCTTGCTTCAACTGTCCTCCATTTAACTCCCCAGCACGGATCAATAGAAAACACAGCTCTTGCACTGTTGTTCCAATCGCTTCCATGGGAACATGTTTAAGAAGATGTTACTTAATAATGGCTGTGTATACTTTCTAATTGGGACATGCGGTAGCATAGTTGGCTGAGGGGCTATGCTACAAGCCGGAAGGTCACGGGTTCAAGTCCTGATGAAGTCACTGGATTTTTTCAGTTGACCTAATCCTTACTGCCATCTATGAGCTGACTGTCTAGATAATGTGGGACCCTCATGGTCTCACAACCCTATGGGCCTTCACGGCCTGGTACAGGGATAGCTTTACTTACTTTACTTTTACTTTCTAATTAAGAATTTGTTGTGTAGTAGTAGATGATGTTCTGCTGCTTGTTCCAAGGTCAGTACCCAGCAAGGGATCAACACACCACATTGTTCCCTCCTTAAGACTATTCATCCCCAATAACTTACCACCATTTCTTCACTTCAAGGGCTGCACTTGAGCCATCTGTGATCAGTCTCACCCTTCCTCCCTGTGCCTCAGTTCTCACCATGATTACTCTCCAACTGTTTCCACTTTTTGAGGCTTCCTGATAAGGTGTCCACTGTTCCTGGAATATCACAAACATCATCCTTTTCTGATCAGTCCAGGCAAAATATCCGAGAGTCGTTAATGCTCCTACATCTCTGGCTCCTACTCTGTGTCCAGCCTTGTCTTTTGTTTTGGAGGGGGTAACCCCACCACAGTGATCTGACACTCATTTTTTGCAGTCCTGAAGTCCTGACTGTTTGCTTTGCTATCTTCAGCTCTACAGTCTGTCTGAAGGACTTGCTGAGTGCTCTCCTGCTTCCAAGATGTAACTGCTGTTTTAGGTCTTGTCTTCTCGTGCTGTTGTTGTACAACAGTTGTGCCTGACATCTCTTCCTGAACTTCTGTCGTGGTTCCTCTTGCAACACTGTCCATGCCATGCCCCTTGGGGGTGCAGGAATGACACTGCAGGTCATCCCTCTGCGGGCAGCAGCCAACTTCTTCTGGGACCCACCATCGCCCTGGGTCCATTTCTTCAGCTTTCAATGGCGCCCTAGGGCTAGATGCCAGTCCCCATACTGTTTCATTAATGCTCTGACAGTTTTCACTGTGGCCTCTTCTTTAGGGACCTCCTCATGCACCGCTACATACACTATATCCACTGAAGTTGGCTCCTTACTCTCCAGACAGGCCTCCATCATTTCTTGGGAGCCCATCATCTCTTTTTGCCATGCCCTCATTTCTGCTATCTCCTTTGGGTTGGTGCCCGTTTTGGCATCCATCTTTTCTTGAGTGGTGCCCATTTCTGCTTGGTTAGCCTTCATTTCTTCTCTTATCTCCTCTTGGCTGGTTCTTATTTCAGCCAGCAGGCATGCTATCATTTCTTCCACTTCCATAGTGTGGCAGTATATCAATCACAACACAAGGCAATGTCCAATCCAACCACCTCTGACACCAGTTGCCATGTGTATGCATGACGATATGCAAAGTTTTGGATTGGAGATTGGATTTATTGACCACTATAACACACAACTTGTGACTACACTTAATTATAGTGCCATCAATGACTTGCACACTTTACAAATCACTACAGCACACACACTAAGTCTTTTCAGTCTGCTGTGTCTTCACTAGTTATTTCTTGGTAACAGATTCTAACAATGTGCTAACTGCACCAACCAAGTCTTCTCTTCACAAACTCCCTAGCAATTCTAAATTCTTGCTTCAACTGTTTTCCTTATAATCTCGCACAGACTAACAGAAAACAAGGGTCTTCTATTGTTGTGCCAATCATTTCTGTCAGAATGAGTTTGCAAAGGTAACAACTGCGTATACTTGCTTATTAAGAATCAGCTGCCTAGTAGCTGATGTTGTTCTGTTGCATGTTTCAAGGTCGCTATTCATCAGTGGATCCTCATGCCACAATATAAAATTCCAAACAATGAAAGGAAAAAATGTTCAGCTTTGCATATTATTGAAGTCTATCATTCTTTATTGGCTCTATGCAACTGTATCAAGGAATCTTCAAAACCTGGAAAATATTCATTAAAGTTATGCAAAATGGTATGTGCTTTATTTACGGGGAGTTACATTGGGCTAATATGTAATGAAATTAGCTGCGCCCAATAACTCTTAATGTAGGCAGAATACAAAGATTCATCAAAATTTGTAGAGTAATGTAGGAGTCAAAATGTGTGGACAAGCAATTGGATATGACCAGGGCCCAGATCTTTATGCGCTAAAAACGCTTAAAATATGAACTAAAAACATGTAAAATGCACTAAAAAGCAGGTAAATATGCACTTAAGAAACAGGTCATTTTATTCAGACTCGCCCATTTACACGTATCATTCACTGCAGAAAGTAGCATCACAATAGGCAACTAGAATTCTTTCAATGTTTTCTGGAGACAAACTACATCTATTGTCAGTGCTTGAGGTGGAATGAAACTAGAACCGGGATGGTTTTCCCCTTTCAATTCATAGACATAAATTACGAAAATATACCGAGTGATGTATATAGTCTGTGTTCCATCTAAGACCTACGAATATATTACAGCAGTTTAAATGGTATGCGTTAAAATAAAGTCACACATGCATCACGAGTATTTATCTTTAGAATATTTTCCAGATGTTTTCATTGCTTTCTGAAGTCACTGATCTTCTTTCTATCTGCGGAGGCTGCACAAGACTGGTAATCTGCATGTCGATGTCCTTTCTTTAGCCATTGTTTTACATAATATTCTGTATCGAAAGCACTAAGAGGGGGTCCCACTGATGAAATAAACATTAAACTAGATGCTGTTTTTAAAAGCGTCGAGCTTCAGATGGTTGAAATAATGTTGTTCATGTTGCCAAATGCACGCTCACACTCTGCAGTTGAAATAATAACAGTATTTGCAGCTGCAATCAACGGCTTTCGTTCATCAGGATACATGTCATCATTCATTATATTCATGTAATATTCATGGAATCCATGAACTGAAGTTTTCTTACACACCATAAATGACTCAGCGAGTTCCCTAATCTCTTTATCAGCAAAACATGGATCTTGACATTTTACCCACTTAGCCTTATCCATTATTTTCAAGTTGTCCAGCAACTGACTGTATTTGTCCCTGTTTGGCCATGTTGTGTTACTACTTCCAGTCGATTCGTGTGAAGCTCTAGTGGTGAACATTCGGGTGTTTATATTGTCACTTAATTTCTGAAAGAATTGTTGTTCACTAATCTTCTGCACTTTTCCGTGTTCTAAGCTAACTCCTTTAAATTCTAATTTATCAGCAGCCATTAGAACTTCAGAATAATACTCACCTGGATTATTTGCCATGGACTGAAAG